ATCAATTGTTGGGGTGGGGTGGAGTCGTTTGTCGGACCTATCTATAAAAAACATTTTATATCTACTTATGCAATTACAATTATTTATTTTCTTTGATATTAAATTAAGTTACACTTTTTGAGCGTGGTGACCGATAAGAAAACATTTTTTTTTCTTTTTTTGAATAAATGAGAATTTAATTAAAACACTTTATACACAGATTTTACGCATACAACTATTCACTGTTGCACATAGATAATAGATACCTATACACCTATATACTTTCTCACAAACAGCTGCTTACGTATTCGTCCGATTTCGGAGCAGCTCATCTCGATCCGTGCGAGCTTCGTACAGTCGTACCATGTACATGCACGTTAAGGTTCAACTAGTCGCGGGCTCGAACTCACTCGTGGACGCGGCCAAAAAGCACGTTGTCTCACCTAGCATTGTGTCTAAAAGAGATAGAATCAGTTATGAGCAGTTAACAGCTACTCGCATTCGTCTAGTTGCACGCACACAAACACCGTGACGAAGTCTGCCCAACTGAAACAACGTTAGACGATGCACGGCTTTCAACGCCGCACCGCTGTGCCGGTCGGAGTGGGCGGTGTTAGGTTTTTATTTTCGTTATGGAATTTCTCGGTTCGATCGCTGCGCACAAAGCCCGCGATAAAAGCTATGCAATAGCTTAAAATAAGAGGACACCAGCAAAAAATTAAAAGTTTGTTTAATAAAACACAAAAACACAAAACATTCTTTGGACTATTTGTAAAAAAAAATAATGTCAAATTCAGACTTTCGCTACGTTGTTGTAATCAGCTTTTTGTCACTCCCAAACAAGAATAACGAAGCACCCCAAACAAAATCAGACAGGTATAAGAGATATATTGTTGCGGTAAACAAAAATATTTGCAAACGTAATTACCGGCCGGGAAACGTAGCTAATATTCCTCAAAGTTCCAGAAAATGTGGCACGTGACGGCGGCGCAGTGCACGCAACAAACTGAGTTTTTCAAAGGAAATGAGCTAACTTTCCTAGTCAGGGCTGATTCGACGCATGTCCGCTGTAAATTGTGGTTGGCTAACCGCTCACTCGTGAGAAAAGTTCTGTCTGACGCAAAACAACAGCAGCTGCAAAGAAAAAAGTATACGACCGTATAGTTCCTTTTTATTTCCGTTTCCTTAGCTGTTGTATCCAAAGTTTTTAGTATGTTTTGTTTTTATTTATTTCAGAAATGAAATAAATGAAATGAAATTTTAAACTTACAATTTATATAACTACTAGTTGCCCAGCGAACTTCTTACCGCCATTAAAAAATATGGGATGGTGGTAGAACGGTGAAAATTTAGTGTTGTATGTATTTTTGTATGATGTATCAAAAAAAAACAAAAAAAAAATTGACAAAAAATATGTTAAGGTGGTAACATATAGGCTAAATGAAAAATAGATGTCCGATTCTCAGACCTACTGAATATAAAATTTCACGAAAATCGTTAGGCCCGTTTCGGAGTAGTTCAATTACGCACACCGTGACATGAAAATTTTAAATATTAGAAGGAAGAATTAAGGTTATCGAAACATTTGTTTTTATAAGTTAGTACAGCTAATATAGCGTGAGTATTGTATGGCAATGTGTTATCGTAGACAAAGTTAATAATTTAATGTGTCAAAAAATATCATTGCTAAACAAATATTTTTGTAAATGAAAAATTAAACTTTAAATATAAACAAAGTTGTTATTACTATTTGGTATGGCTGAATGACACAAGGACTGGTAAACACTGCTGCAGTAAATCTTAATTTTTGCTTCAGTTATGTACTTACCTGGGCTATATAGTTTAATGAGAAGCTGTTCTGTAACAAAACACTGTCAACTGTGATTTTTTGTACACACTAGTCGCGAAAGAAAGTATGATCGATTGAAAAAAAAAATTAATTATCTCTTCTGATCTGAAACGTATTATATTTATTCACTCTTCAACGTAAATTTGCCACTGACTTTTTTTCTTATTCAGAGCGCACTTTACAACAATGCGTATGTCGTTGAGTAGTTAACTAGTTCCACTTTGGCATAATGTCATTATCAGAAAAAGACTGCAAAGAAAAAAAGGAACATCAACCCAAAAATCAATTTGCCACCGTAGGGGCCACGTGAAAAGGGTTATACGGGAATAGGCAATGTTGCGAGCAAAATTGAAAGTAACATTGAAAGTAAACAGTGGCTTTGACGCGGGTAGACATACGCGGACAGGCTTTCTTTCAGATTTGTGCAAACAAGAGTGGCAGTTACACGCGGTGTGTCAGTACAAAGGCCCTTTGAATAGGTAAGTACGCGAATCGAAAACAGCGAAAAAAGATATTATAAATACCTACCTACAGACGCTTGAAATATTTAGGTTTTCAAATAGTTTTTGCTTACAGAAAATGTTTTGCAAAAAGTGTCTTAACTTCCAACAAGACCCATATTTAGTAAATTAAGATAAAAGGAATTTAGTCCAGTCAATCAAGGCAAAAATCAGCTACAACCTCCGATTTCGTTGAACCTCCATCGATTTTCATGAAAATTGGCGAGTAGGTGGGGGATACCTTAAGAAACAAAAGTGACATAGTGCCAACTTGCGCTTTTGCTCTGGGGGTAGTTGCCACCTCATCTCGGGGGGTGAAAATTATTTTAATAAAATAACTCGAGAAATCTATAGAAAAATAAATTCTAAGCAAAATTTGTTATATAAAATTTTTGAAATAAATCAATACTTTCTGAGTTATTAAAGACCAAAGATTGTGATTTTTCGTGATAAAAATACATGTTTAAAAACTGTTTTTATAAATAACTCAAAAACTATGAGTTTTTACAAAAAATGTATTATGACCAAAATTAAAGCTAATAAAAAACTAAACAAACCCCTACTTTGAAAATCCTTCTAATATTAATTCAAAGTGAACTATAGGAAATTGTATGTATATTTTTTTCGGCGAGTACTTAAATCTAAGTATTCAAACCTTAATAGGGTCAATTTAAAATTGGTGGCAGAAAATGTCGTCCCAGAGCAATGAAATTTTTTCCTCGTAGATATTAATAAAATATTATAATATCATAGGGGTGTATTAGTTAAAAGGCCGATTTTTTAATTACTTTACATTAAAAAAATAGTTTAATTATTCATTAATAAACACTTTTTTCATATAACAGAGTAGTCTTAAATGGTAACATAGATGTTTTCTAAACAAAAAAAAACTGTCCCTGTACTCAGTGCAATATAGAAAAACCACAATATTTTTTGATCGAATCGTATGACTGTTTTGTTTAAAATATATTGTAATGAAGCAAATACAACATTTTCAAAAACACATTTCATATCTTTTGAATAAATTTACTAAACCAACTATGATTTTTTTAAATTTTGTCCCGCAGTCTTTGTAATAATAAGCGTGTCTTATGTTAACATGTAAATTCAATAAATGCCAAGAGATGGCGCCCCGTGTTCGGTCGCGATAGTAGTCGCCATAATGTTCACTGTTGTAGCGACACTGCTTGAGAGGGGTGAGGCACGGGGTACATGATTTAGTCGAACGTTGGCTGCGGTGTGAGGCGCGTGGTTTTATTGTGTGTTTGCTCTGTTACCAGCCTTTTTATGTAAGTATTTTATTATTTCTGTGCAATTTTATAATTGAGGAGTCTACTTTCAAAATCCACTAAAATCTTTTTCAGAAAATATAAGCTAGCAAAAAAAAAACACCTCATTTTAAATAAAAGGTCAGTTTAATTAAAGTAAGCATCATACATTTTTAATTTGTGCTTTATAAACACTTTTACCATGATTTACCAAGGAAAAAACGGTTTTTAACGGATAAAGAGCTAAAATAATTTCGTTTTTAGTGGGTTTTGATGAGAAACTTTGATTATAGCGGTATTTGCAACGACTATTATAAATTTTGGCGGGTTTTGATTTGAATAGATTTTGACGTATGGATGGTTTTATCCTACATGCTTGAGTTAAAATAATCCGCTGTGTAGATATTCTTATGTAAATGTTAAAGTTAATGTTTGTTATAATTATTAAAATATTTTTTTGGTACTACCTGGTACAAACCCATAATAACAGACAAGGAATTATTTTATCAAACATTAATTATTAAAAAATCATAGGTACATTTCAACTTGCAAATTAACTTCTTCCCCAACATGCTCACACATATTTTCTTCATCAACTACTTTTTTATGAAGCAACATAATTAATGCACGTGCGTTTGATAATTTTTGAAGAAATAATATTTTCACAACACATGAAGAAAAAATATTTGCCCCCTAGCTTTGCAAACTTCAATGTTTAAAAACAACAATTTTATTAATTGGTGCCATGTACTGTGTTGGATCCTACGCCTTCACCCATCATCGCACCATTCTGCATAACACCTTTTAACGGACATAACCAAGTTGATCACGTGATTTGAATCCTGTGCTGTGATTGGTCCGCGCATTTTTGGCGGATTATAGTGGAGTTTGCAACGAATACGAATTTTAGATCACTGTTTTTTTATAGAATTAAGCGGATTTTGCAGCAAAATATTTCGTGGATATGAATAATAAATATTCAGAAATATTTTGAAAGACTTAACTATTTTATAGCCAAAAACCGTTTTAGCGGGTTTTGAAAGTAGACTCCTCAATTATAAAGTATCTCTAAAGGAAAAATTAGTATGAACAAATTTTTCCTTTAGAGATACTTTAATAAATAATAGCATATGAATGCTATTACTTTGTCATAGTAATGTTTCATTTAATAATTAACCATTAGTAATCGTTAAAAATACTACTCTGTTACTACGCAACTATGTTACTAGGTGATGGTAACAGAGTTGTAGAGTAGTAACAGAGTTGTCATTATTAAACTGTTAGAAGCTATGGTCTTCATTGTTGTGTTTGTATCGGTGCTTGTATATGACTATGAGTCAATATAATATTTTATAATGTAATAAATTTACATAATTTGTTCTAGATAATACAGAATACTTCACTATGGCTCTCACAGCAGCTGAAAAACAGCGACGCTATAGAGAAAAACGTAAACTAAATCCAGAAAAGGTTGCAGAAGCAAAGAGAAAGGATTTAGAGCGCTATCATGCAAAGAAACGCTTGGTAAAAGATATGACTCCACGCGAGCATCGAGTGTCTAAAAAAAAGTGGCGAGTTGCGAATGCCAAAAGAAGAGATCGCCAAAGAGCGCTGCGAATAATTATGCATACGCCAGAATCAACACCTGGAGTTGAGACACCACCACCTTCAGATATGATTTCACGTAATTTTTCCCCAAGATTTGTCACGGCTCGTCGACTATCTACTCCTCAGCCACCGACTCCAAGATACGGTAGTGCAAGTCCTAACATATCTGCAAAAGCTCGAGGTCGAAAAAAAGTAAAAAGAGACAGATCGAAACTATTAAGAGAAAATCTAAAATTCAAGGAAGAATTACAGAAAATGAAAAAAAAGTATGAAAAGTACAAAAAAAGATACAATAGAGCCGTGAAAAAAGAACTTACAATCAGCAACCCCAATGATAGTTATGATGTCTTATCAAATGCTATTAAAGAGCGGTATAAGAAAATGAAAAGTTTAAAGGAGAGACGCATTATACATAATATATTTAAAGAAGATAGTATAACGAAATCAAGAAAGAAAGTGCAAATAATCAAAGACTGCTTAGATATTAATCAGGGTTACTTTAGAAAGCATACACCAAAGCAAAGAACAAACATCCTTAAATTCAAATTACACGAATTTTTCAACCGAGATGACGTATCTAGGGCCACAGCAGGTAAAAAGGAAACAGTAACTTTCAAAAAGTCCAAAATGCAAAAACGCTATCTGCTCGACAATATGAAGAATCTATTTTATTCGTTCAAGCGAGAAAATCCCGAACAAAAATGTTGTTATAGTAGTTTCACTTTAAACAGACCATTTTATGTAAAACCTCCATCTGTTGATGCAAGGGAAACATGTTTATGCCGGCTACACACTAACATATCGTACCTTTCTGCTGCTCTTTTTAGAAACAAAATAATTCCTACATCTGATTTGAACACGATTATTCAACAAGAAGTTTGCGATGTGGATTCATTGGCATGCATGTCAGGAAACTGCTTCAACTGTCAACAGACTAAACTGAAGTATGATACAACAAAGAACGACCTCCTAGTGAGCTATCCTCAGTGGGTAAGAAAAACGGAGATTGTAGAAAAGTCTGGAAAGAAAATGAAAGTTACGAAAAATATTAAAGAAGAGGTGAAAAGTAAAGTAGAGAATTTGATAGATGCATTTGAAGAGACTCTCAAAAATTTCAAAAGACACGTATATAACATAAAAACTCAATATAAAAACTACCGAGCGTGTATAGATAGACTGACCGAAGAGGAAATAGCCCTACATGTAGATTTCAGTGAGAATTACAATTGCAAGTTACATGAAGAGATACAATCACATCACTTTGGTAGTTCGCGTAACCAAGTATCCTTACATACTGGTGTATTGTACAATCGAAGCTCACAAAATCAAAACTTAGAAGTGGAGTCTTTTTGCACAGTATCGAGCAACCTATCTCACGGTCCTCCGGCAATCTGGAGTCACCTTCACCCCATACTTACCTCAATTCAAGACCGATTTCCTAAAGTAAAATCAATACACATATTTTCTGATGGACCCGCAACTCAATACCGTCAGAAACAAAACTTCTACCTAATATGCACAAGACTATTTTCAAATTACAACTTTACTAAAGCTACGTGGAACTTCTTTGAGGCGGGACACGGTAAAGGAGCAGCTGATGGTGTTGGTGGCTTCCTTTAACGGACTGCTGACCAACTTGTTGCCATTGGCAAAGACATTTCTGATGCGGCTTCATTTTATCAGATTCTGAAAGACAGTAGTAAAGTGAAAATGTACCTTATAACTGATAAAGACATTGAAAAAATTGCGAGAGAAGTTCCAGCACAAATAGTGCCTTTGTATGGTACAATGAAGGTACATCAAGTGTTTACAGAAGAAGTGGGAACTCTGAAGTATCGAGAATTAAGCTGTTTTTGCCAACGTGGTTTCTGCTCCTGTATGTGCCCGAAAAATTATTCTCCATTAAAGGATACGGTCGAAGAATCTGAAGACAGCAATTCCGCAACTTTAGCGGATATAACTAATTTTATTGAACATAAAAGAAAATCTATATATAATGTTATATACAATTCAAGCTCGGAATCCGGTGACAATATTCCATTAACCGAATTAAAAAATAGATCATTTGATCAACCCGGCCTGTCAAAAGAAAAAAAAGACAACAACGACTTAATTGAGAAGGAAAATATTCATCCAAGTAAAGTCAAAGCAGGTGTTTACATTTTAGTTAAAATTTGCAGTTCTAAAAATGAATACATTTATCTTGGCAAAGCATTAAGCGAAGTAGACGATGACGGCGAAGTAAAAATAGTGTACTTGAAGTCTGTTGATGATACTGCAAAGATATTCAAATTAATTGAAAATGATGTATCATATGAACAATATGAGAGTCTACTAAAAATTGTTTCCGAACCTCAAAAAGTAATTAAGGGTAAAAGAGTATATTACAAATTCCCTTCTCCTCTAGAAATATTTGAAAAATAACATCTCAGTTGATGTTTAATTTGATCTCAGTATAGCTTAAATGTATGTTTTTTTTTATTTTTACTATTTAGTTAAGTTTTTAAATATACTTCAACTTTTCTAGCCAAAATCAAAAAGTATTGTGATAATAGTGCATAATTTCGTTGTAAAAGTACAACTATGTTGCTGTTTCTACGACTCTGTTACTTTTATGTCCCTAAATATTTAAGAGTAAAGTTAATAATTTTATGAAGAGCTGATATTTGAATCGACGTTTTATATATCCCCTATACACTATTCTAATTAATGCACAATACCATGCCTATATTTTTATAATTTAAGTCAATTTAAGTAATTTATAGAAAAAAATATATTTACAAAACATAGAAAGTAACAGAGTTTATTTAACTTTAATTATTATAAATACATAAGAATACATATTGTGATTTTGCATGTGGAACATGAGAATAAAGACTTTATTAGTGTTGACTCCAAAGAAGGTTTACAAAAACAATTGTTTGTTTTTTTAATATAAATAAATATATGATGGTAACACAGTTGCTATTTTTCTTTACCTTTCACTATGTTATTATCTGAAAATCTGAAAAAAGCGGCAAGAGATCGCGGCCAAGAACGAAAATGCATTTGGCAAGATTATTTACATAATATGCGCACCTATACATTTAAAATTAAAAACTCTTTTTTTAATTTGGAATCATAATTTTCTGTCACGTTTTTCTGCAACCGATTTTAAATTGACCCAATAACTGGAAACAGTTGCATTTTATGACATATACTTCCTAAACACATTTTAAAGTCGTTGGAAATAGCTTTCTAATGAGCACTGTAAAAAGTTAAAAGTATCAAAATTGAGCAAGTTATGATAAAAATAAGATGACACTTTTGAAGAAAACAAAACCTTTACCATTTCCACAAAAATTCAAATTAATGGTTATCCCTAAAGGACCTACCTCAAAATTTTTTCCCGGTTTAAAATGCTTATTATTCAAAAAAAGTATGATTTAATAAAAAAAAAAAACATATTTTCGTAAATTTCATTTTCTTTTGAAAATTACTTCAAAAATATTGGATATTAGTAAAAATGGTAAGTAACTAAATTTCGGATCTTTTTTAACCAAGGTTTTGGTATTTATTTTATTTTTATAGAATGTAAAATAACCGAGATAGAGTCGTTTAAAGTCTAACTTTTACTGCGAGAACCATGTAACCGGGATCTTTTGACGCATTATCTTTTAAATAAACCGGGCAAAAATTTTGAGGTCATCACTTACGCTAGAATAAAAGAAGCGTTTTAGAGATAACCGTAAATTTGATTTTTTTTGGAAACGGCGAAGGTATTTTAGTTTTCGTTTTTTCTAAAAAAAAAATCTTATTTTGATCTTATTTTTATCATAACTTGCTCAATTGTGATGCTAATAACTTTTTACAGTGCTCATTACAAATTTTATTTTATTTTATTCATGGAAAACAAACAGCATGTTAAAACTTCTTCAAAGTAGGGGTTTGTTGAGTTTTTATTAGCTTCAATTTTGGTAATAATATTTTTTTGTATAAACTCATACTTTTTGAGTTATTTATGAAAAACCGCTTTAAAACATGTATTTTTATCACGAAAATTACCAACCTTTGTATTTACTAACTCAGAAAGTATTGATTTATTCTAAAAACTTTATATAACAATCTCACTATCTGTCTCACTATCTATTTCTGCAGTTGTTTTTATTAAAATAATTTTCACCCCCGAGAAGGGGTAGCATCTACCCCCAGGGCAAAAGCGCAAGTTGGCAATATGTCACTTTATTTCTTAAGGTATCCTCCACCCACTCACCAATTTTCATGAAAATCGATGGAGATTCAACGAAATCGGAGGTGAAAACCTTCATGGACTGGACTAATTACTCAAGTAAAAATGATACACACATCAAGATATGGCTAATAAGTAACCATCATGTTATAATTCTACTAATATTATAAATCTAAAAGATTGTAAGTTTGTACTTATGTTTGTATATTTGTTGTTCAATCACGCAAACACGGCGAAACGGATTTGGATGAAATTTTACATACAGACAACTAATAGCCTGGAAATAGATATAGGATACATTTATATCGCGGAAAAGTGTTAGAATTTAATTTAGTTCCGGAGGTATTTTCAAAAAACTGAAGTTAACCTGGACGAAGTCGCGGGCGGCCACTAGGTAATAGCTTATAAAAGTTTGATTCGCGCATAGCCTACTCTGCACTTCATCAATCAATCCTTTCATCCGTAGCCTTCTATGTATAAACCCGATTTATTTTCTAAACGTAAAGTCAAATGATCACGTCAAGTTGGCGAATAAAAAAAATGTCTACACAGAGGAAATAATATAGTTTTATTTGAGTACACTTTTAAATCAAACGAGCTAAGGGTTACTATTTTAACTAAAAATAAAAATGTTTATTGAAAATATTACTTAACATTATAAATTTGAATGTTTTTACTCAATCATGCAAATCCACTTAAAGGATTTAAATGAAATTGGGTACTACGCATGTAATTTATGATTATTGAGACATAGTTTTTTCCCCGGAAAATGTAAGGTTTCTGTAGGATTTCCAAAAAAACTAAAGGTTAATTGAACAAAGTCGCGGGCGGCCGATTGTACGGTAAAATAAAAAATAACCACATGGTTAGCTTTCTATTCCAAAATGAAACACATGGACAACTATAAATAAATAATTACTAAAGATTAAGTTGCCTACAGACCGAAATCTCATTTTACAGAGCATTTATACCGTTAAGCCAGGTAATGCTGGTTTGATATTCTTTTAAAATCAAATGTTGTTGAAATCGCTTTCGAGTAAGTATAAGATTTCTAGAAGCGCACTTTATTAAATATAACGGCAGCGAGCGCACCGCTTCTGAAATATCATAGATGTAATAATGTTGGCAAACGATCTCACGTGTAAGTAGTTACGTAGCGTTGCAGAGTGGACCCGCCAGACGTTATAGAACGTAATCGGCTTGAACAGAATGAAACTGGCCGGTTGCAACTATTATCGGCACTACGGCCGCAAGTCAAAAGATTGTCAGTTTGAAAAGAAAAAAAATGATTTTAATTCCAAAGAAATGCCTGTTAAAAAACACCCATGTCCAGTTGTCTAGTATTATGTGCATGTGTGTAACAACAGTCGGAACCTATGTATTATTGGGAAAATTTGATACATTCTACAATATGTTATGGGTCTCGTCTCGACTGTTAAAATAACTTTGTTCCTTACTTAACAGAATTCTAGCTCGTTAACCATCACATAAGATGAATGGGAAACCACCGCCCTTGGCTACCTGGGCGGGTGCACTAAATCTCCATGCTATCCAGACCCCATGGACATTCCGAACCTCCCCCAGCAGGTGCAGGAGGTCCTGGGTTGCAAGGCAGCACCACTTCTAAACCGGCGGGACCCAGAAGTGGCGGCCAACGCCGACGCCACGCGGTCTCTTGAGACCTACTTGATTCGCTTGAGGTTTAGACTACTTGATTCGCTTTTTTCTTTTCAGCTTTTATTTAAACTTAATATTATCCAGGGGAGGTTTCGATTTTCGACTCGAATTTTTTTGAATTCTAAAAGTTGCATATTTATTTATATTTTCTGAATTAAGTATTTTCTGTTTTTTAAGGTTCCGCACCCAACGGGTACAAACGGGACCCTGTTATAAAGACTGCACTGTCCATCTCTCTTTGCCAGTCTCTCTGTCTGTCTATCTTCTGTCTGTCTGTCGCCAGGCTGTATCTCATGAACCGTGATAGATAAACAGTTGAAATTTTCACAGATTATGAATTCTGTTGCCGCTATAAAAAAACACTAAAAACAGGATTAAATAAATATTTTAGTGGGGTTTCCATAGAACAAACGTTTTTTACCACGACCGTTTTTTGCTCAATAACGGCAACAGGTACACGCTTTAAATATTCTCAGAATATTTAGTTGTATATTAACTTTAAAAATGCATAATTTAATTAGAATCAATAGACATTTTTGGGGGGCTCCCATACAACAGACGTAATGTTTTTGGGGTTTTTGCTCGATAATATAATGTCTAATGTTGTTTAGAATAGTACGGAACATTTCGTGTGCTAGTGCGACTTGCACTTGGTCGGTTTTTTAAATAAGGGTAGGAAGTTGAGATATTTCAAACAGCATCGGGATTTTTATTTTTAAACGTACCTACGCTTGTATCTTGACATGCAGCCTTCAGCTTACCTGAACTAAGTAGGTACTCTGAAATAAGTAAAGGAAACGTACGGTCTCGTAGAAATTAATGTGTAAAATTGTAGGTACGAATATATGTATGGAAATACATTTATTTAATATCAAGTTCCATCAAGACTGACACGTCTGTGTCTGCCCTTAAAACAAAAGAGAGAAAATTAACTTAATGTGCATTACCACCGGTAGTATTAATGTGTGCAAAGGTATTTTAGGGGTTTACTTAACGTTTTTTTTTCTTGGTATATGGAAATCTGTTTCTTTTCTTACAAAATTGTTACCACAAGAAATAAAAGAAATAATATAAATTCTGTTCGTAGAACTGATGACAACCCAAACACACGAAATACGACACTCTTGCCTCTCTCAATATCTACAATTTAAAGAGATATTCGTTAACAAAACCCACCTTCACTGTTTTAATGTTTAATCAATAATTAAGAATACATTAAGAAATGGTAACAACGAACCTACATTTCTCAATTGGGAATGCTGTCTTCGTAATCTATTTTCATCATAATTCTAGGCAGTAGTGTGTATTAGGTATTGATGCGATATTATTGTTAAGTCTATTTTTCTTTCTCTTACACCAATATCATCGGTCAGGTATAGCAGTGTAAAATAAACTCAAAAGAATTTATTCAGTTTAGGCTGTTACAAGCACTTTTAACAGTCTAGAAGCGGGAGACCTTGTACTGAATACTGACTGACGCACGAGGAGTCGTGATTTTCGATCACCGCACGCGACCAGCATTATGGTAGTTGTCCCACCGCCAGCGAGAAAGTGACTATTTAACGACTATTTTCTTGCTCAAGAAATGTACAACAGTATCCTTAGCACGAACCAATATCGAATTCGAATAGTTTGCAAGTGCTAAATTTTATTGTCAAATGTGTACTAATTTTCAGTTTTCGTTACGTCCATTAAGGCGCTGCTGTTCAAGTTTCAATACAAAATTTGACATTGACATTTCACACTCGTTAACTATTCGAATTCGATAATGGCTCGTGCTAAGGGGACGATATACATTCCATGTTAAGAAAAGAGATGCATGTATTAAAAGTTAATCACTGACTGTTCACACTGCTGGCGAGAACTCTCTCCACTAGTTTGTCACTGAGCTACAAGAGTTATCAAAGATAACACTCGCTCAGCAGTGACTCAGCGAAGTTTGCTTGTCTGAAAATGCGCGCGCGTGCATTTTTGCTCAGGATCGTCGATCGATCGTCGTACTCGCACACTCGCATATAGTCCAGCGATAAAACTATCGTAACTCGCTTCCCGCCTCTCGCCAACTCGTTCCTAATTCTACTCGCTTCTCGTTCATCGTCAGCGTTCTTTCTAGAAAGAGAGAAAGAAGCAGCTAATACATATATTGTTTTATACTTTCTTGGTCACTAACATTATAGCTATTAACGCGATTGTTACCATGTACCTTGTTTTTTATGAGTCTCCGATATTTCACCACTATTGCAAGCGCCATGATCACGGAGTAACTGAGACCACTCTGAACTGAGAATATCGGAAACTCATAAAAAACAAGGTACATGGTAACGATCCCGTTAATAGCTATAAAGCTAATACATAGATGATATATGGGCCGGCCAGACTGTCTGACACACTTATCTGCCTATTTTTATTTACAATTGGTTTGGTTGTTCATTCTCTTTCTGTGAGGCAGACTTACTGAATCTCATACAACGTAGATTTATAGACGGATGGAGACGATATATGAAAGACATCCGTAGCTGCTACGAGCTGCGTATTGCACGATACGTAGTACTTACGTAGCAGCTACGGCTACGCTACTTGGTTGTTGCTTGTGTTCATGTTGTCACAATATATCGCCGCCGTGGAGCGAAAACTATTGTATATAGTGGAGCGCCTGGGTTTTTAGATCTCGGACTTTTGCTACAGTGAATAAAAGGAGATACAGCACTTTGTATGGGGGGTTAGTACAGATACCAAGTTCATTGTACAAGGGCAAAAATATATACCATTGTAAAGCTTATTTTTAATGTATACTGCCAGTCTCAATCGAATTCGATAGCTAGTTGGGTTCATCATCATCATCATCAGCCTATTAATTACTCACTGCTGGGGCACAGGCCTTCCCTATGGATGGAATAGGGAGATTGGGCTATGACCCACCACGCGGGCCCAGTGCGGATTGGCGGGTGCTAACGACTGTACATGCAGTCGCGACCAACGGTTTAACGTGCCTTCCGAAGCACGCAGGAAATCGAGATAGAAAATTTTTGGTCACCCATCCAATGCCAAAGTTGCTTAAGTTCAACGATCACAGCCGAACACGCTAACCATCTGCGCCATCGAGCTCCTCGAGTTGGGTTAATTAATATTAAATATTTTGATTTGAATTTAATTAAAATTAAAGACTGAATTAAGTATAAAGGGGGTTTTCTGGTGTAATATACATAATAAACGGTTTTTAACTAATTAGGAACAACTAAACAAAAAATGTCAACAAAGACAGTCAAAAATATTCAATAATCACAAGCATGCTAGTATGTTGACACATATACCTACAATCAACATATAGTGCAGTCACTGAAGCGAAAAATACGGTCTTACCTCCGATTTTTGTGGGGTGTAAACAACCACTTAATGGAAAAATTGACATTGAGCCATTTTATCGCTAGAAAACATGTCTAATAGTAAGTGGTGAAATTGTAAAGTATTTTCTAACATAATTACCTCATATTAAAATCATTTTCAACCCCTTGAAAATCTTACAACTCTTGTAAACAACCCCTAAATTAATAAAATCACAAAAAATACTTTGGTATGACATAAAAAGATGTAAGTATAGAGTAAGTAATATTTTATATTCACTATAATAATTATCAAATTTTTAACCCCCTTTCAACCTAGATAAAAAATTGTTAAAAAAAATACATTTTTTTATTAAACAAAATGTATTGAAATTCGGTGTCTAGTTATAATATTATATTAAACACGTGCTCATTCCTTTGCAGACGGAAATATACTGGTCACATTATAACGAATAAACGGAGCATGCACAGCGGATCACATGGCTTTTTCGTTGGCCCCTTCACTCAAATGTGTTATATATACACTAGCTGACCCAGCGAACTTCGTACCGCCCTAAAAAAATAGGGGTTGTCCAGCGGACAAAATTGTGAATCTAAACCATTCTCAGATCCCCTTGAACACACACAAAAATTTTCATCAAAATCGGTCCAGTCGTTTAAGAGAAGTTCAGTGACATACACACTCACAGAAGAATTATATATATAAAGATATTAGAACGTTGGTATGTATTCATGCCTACGTTTCCAAAATATATGAGCCATATTATGTATATATATATACACATTACAATAGTTGTGGGTCTCTATTATACTGCGTACTTTCACATTGCTCCAAATATTCACACTCCGAAATTTTCAGTTACTAAGTAGAAAAAAATATGATAAGTTTTTGGACCATAACTCCTTCAATTTTCATGCTATCACAATTTATAAAAACCATTGTAAAGGTAAATTAAGAGAGCTACAACATCCTTCATTGCAATATATGGTAAAAAACCTTTTTCTAAAACGGTGAAGGGTTAAAGGGCTAAAGAGAGGCTGTGATTGCGCTGCCACGCGCTCTTTAAACAATCATATCTCCGTCAATTTTTATTTGACAGAAAAAACAAAAAAAACAAGTTGTTTGTCAGAAAAATACCTAAATTTTTAATCCATACACTTTTATACGTATCTGTCGTCATTTTTGAGATATTATGAAAAGAAAGTGGGTTTTTTAAAAATTTGAAATTTTGTTTTTGTTTTCAATCGTGACTTTTTTAAAAATATGTGTCCTGAAGCAGCCAAACTGATACTATCTATCAAACTTTTCATAATAAAGTTAATTCTAGGCGGAATACGATTAATTTTAATTTTGGTGGAAATGGCACTTATGAAACCCATTGATTTAAAAGAAAAAACATTAGATGCTCCCCTTATTTGCAATACAGCTCACTTAGTTTACGTGCAAAAGACTTTTAATAGTGCTCATTTTAAAGCTTATTTCAAGCACTACAATACCCTTTTGTATTAGAATGCATAAAATGCATCTGCTCGCCGCTAGATGGCATTGACCACATCGATTAAATTTCAGACAAAATAAAAAACGACTTTGATCTTTAATATCTAGCTTAATATTGCATTTAGAATACTTTATAAAAAACCAAATTGTTCATTGTTTTACCTGCTACAATTTTATTTTTTATAAAATTTTCAATAAAACGTATATTTTTGGAGATATTTGCAAAAAACCGATGAAAACGTGAAAAAATTGCGAATTTTCAATTGCCAATAACTTGAAAAGTATTGGATTTTTAGAAAAACTTTATAGATGATTTTTTGCTTAACATTAGGCCTTCTATCGATATCCGAGTTGTTTTGAAAAAAAAACACCCCGAGAAGGGGTGGCAACCAGCCCCAGGGTGGTTGCGGAGTTCAAATCATTTTCACTTTTGAAGTTAAGGGTAAGATGAACTTAATTCCAAAATTGTATG